CGACATCATTTCCTGCCATCTCAGCAACTGAGGTGCCATGTTTATCACCGAGCACGACATCATCGACTGCCATCTCCACAAGGGAACTGCCTTGTTCGCTACGGTGCACCGCATCATCTCCTGGCATCTCAGCAACAGAGGTGCCATGTTTATCACCGAGCACGGCATCATCTACTGCCATCTCCACAAGGGAACTGCCTTGTTCGCTACGGTGCACCACATCATCTCCTAGCATCTCAGCAACAGAGGTGCCATGGTTATCACCGAGCATGACATCATCTCCTGCTTGGTTCCTTACCAAATCTTCTTCAGGAACATCTAGTTCGCTGGACTCATGCTTTCTCTTGTGAGACTGATCCTGCGCTACCCCATCACCGCGTTGCTTAAGCGTGAGCATCACGTAAGCGATCATTACTTCAAATCTACTTAATTCGGGATCACGCTGGCTGTACCTGGCCACGCGACTGCTGTCGTTGGCAGGTGGCGACAGATTACCGTTGCGGCTCGGCAGTTGCGACAGATTAGCATTGCGGCTCGGCAGTGGCGACAGTTTAGTGTTGCGGCTTGGCAGTGGCGACAGTTTACCGTTGCGGCTCGGCAGTGGCCTGGGCCTGGCAGGTGGTTTGTAGCCTTTGCTTGGACGGCTTTTGAGATGACCAGAACCCTTTTTGTACCCCCTATTGGGATGGCTTCGGAGATGACCGAACATGGACTTGTCGTTCCTGAAGAGCTTCCCGCACTCAGGGCACTGCACGTTGGCACTGCTCCCATCCAATTCATAGTTGTTGCTGCTAGGCTCAACTTGAGGACCTTGTTTAACGCTGAGCAACAGATCATCTCCGTCTTCCTCTTCTTCGCCTAGAGGCCCTTCTTCTTCAACAGATCTCTCGGGATCTCTTGAATATCCATCACCGGATAGCAGTTCGTCTTCATCTTCTTTTGGGTATTTGTCACCTGATGAGAAGGCTTCGTCACCAAGGAAGCCCTCTTGGGTGAAGGCATCAGCAGGAGCAGTGAAGCCCTCTTGGTTGAAGGCGGCACCAGGAGCAGTGAAGCCCTGTTGGGTGAAGGCGGCAGCAGGAGCAGCGGGTAGGCTGCTGAGCTCGTCGCCAGCATTGCTGAACATGACGCTGCTGCTGCTGGGTCGCCCGATCGGATCTTGACACAAAAATTCGTCTCCAATCCGAGCAGCAGCAGCAGCAACGACGAGCTGGCGGTTGCTGCCTGCGGCCACGGGCAAGCGGAGAGAGGCAGCCTGCAGCAGCACCACCAGCGACAAGAGCAGGACGCAGAGCAGGCCGCTCCGCTTACTCATGTAGGGACGGATCAGAGGAGGAGGCGGAGCGAGGGAGGGGAGTGGATCGGTTTGGTGGCTGGGTGGGGAGACGAAGTCGATGGCTGCTTATAGCTGGGCGCTGCGGTGGTGGAGAAGTGGGAGGGATAGCCGCCGGCGCTTCGGGTGGTAAGGAGTAGGAACGGACGCATTTATATGATGAACGAACGCGTTCCTTCCTCGGTCGGGAGTAATGGTGGTGGGAACTGGCAAGCGCAAATCCTTATCTGCGAGGCGAGGAGGAAGCCCACCGCGGCGAGTAGGTTGTGATCATGGCTCTCG